GACTGGGGGGGGGGGGGGGGAAGGGGACAGGGGGAGGGGATGGGGACATGGGGAGGGGATTGGGGACACAGGGAGGGGATGGGGACATGCACTGGAGCAGGGAACAGGATCAGAAAGGGACCAGGGGACGGGGACATGTGACAGGGGTGGTGTCCAGGGGATGGGGACAAGACAGGGACCACAGAGACATGGCAGGGGACAGGGACAAGGGATGAGGACATTCACCAGGGCAGGGGACAGGGAGCAGGGGATGGGACGGGGATCAAGGGACAGGACGGGGATGGGGATAAGTGGCAGAGGATGAGGTTCAAAGGATGGGACATGCACCAGGGCAGGGGACAGGGGTGCGACAGGGACCGAGGGACGGGGAAATGCAGCAGGGGACAGGGACCAAGGACATGAAGCAGAGCAGGGGACAGCAGGGGACAGAGATGTGCAGGGATGGGGCAGAGCGCAGGGGACAGCCAGGACAGGACAGCAGGACGGAGGTTTGGCAAGGGGCAGGGACAGGGATGGGCCAAGGGGCAGCCCAGGGGGACACGAGGGGAGGGGGGGCAGGGCTGGGAGCACCGGGGGTGGCTCAGGGCCGGGGGGTCTCGCTCGCCTTGGGGTCAGAGCTGAGCATGTTGAACCAGAGGATGGAGGCCCAGGCGCTGGAGAACTGGTTGTTGTTGGAGATGATGACGAAGGGCAGCGTGGTGGTCTGGGGAGGGGACAGGGGTCAGGCTGGCCATCCCCAGCCCCCCCTAAACCCCCCAGCGCCCCCGGCCCTCACCTCCAGCTCCAGCTCCAGCTCGCAGTAGGCGTAGGCCAGCGTGAAGGTGATGAGGTGCAGCTCCTCCGTCACGGCCAGGGGACCCTGCGAGGAGGTGACACCGCGGTCACCGCCTGGCCCCGGCCCCCTGCAGCCCCCCGGCCCCCGGCCCGCGCCCACCTCGCCGCCGGTGCCCTTGCCCTTGCCAGCCCTGCTGTCCTTCTGCTCCTTCAGCGTCTGTGGGGACGGCAGAGTCAGCCCGGGGCGGGGTCCTCACCCTGCTCCCCGCCCCGGGGGGGATCTGGGGGTCCCTACGAGGTACTGGAAGTCGCAGACCAGCCCCTCCTGGGGACTGTCCCCGGCCAGGAGCGTTTTGCTGCTCGACGTGAGGATGTTGAACCTGCGAAACCTGCGGGGCAGAGACAGGAGCTGGGAGGGGGGGTCGGGACCCCCGCGAGGGCACACGGGGCTGCATGTCGGGGACCCCTGGGGGGGGCTGTGGGTGGGGGCCAAGACACCCCTCCCAGGAGAGGGCATAGCCCAGCTGAGGATGGAGGGTCAGGACCCCCAGAGGGGCTGCGGGGAGGAGATTGAGACCCCTGGGGGAGGCAGCTCTACTGCAGGTGGGGGTCAGGACACCCCCAGGGATGGCAGGTGGGGTTCAGGACCCTCCCTCAGGAGCTGGGGAGGGGTTCAGGACCCTCCCTCAGGAGTTGGGTTCAGGACCCTCCCTCAGGAGTTGTGGGGGGGTTCAGGACCCTCCCTCAGGAGTTGTGGGGGGGTTCAGGACCCTCCCTCAGGAGTTGTGGGGGGGTTCAGGACCCTCCCTCAGGAGTTGGGGAGGGTTCAGGACCCTCCCTCAGGAGTTGTGTTCAGGACCCTCCCTCAGGAGTTGTGGGGGGGTTCAGGACCCCCGCTGCCGCCTCCAGTGCTCTCCCAGCTCTCACCCTTTGATGCTGGGCGGGTCCCTGCAAGACACAAGGGGGTGTCAGGGGCAGCGGGACCCCCGCGGGCGGTGAGGCACACACGGGGGGGGTCTCTGGGGTGGGGGGTCCCACCTGTCGATGTGGATCTTGGCCTCCATGCGGTGGTTGCGGTCGTGCAGCCGCACGAGCAGGCGGGCGCGGGCCGAGAACTTGCTGCCGGTGCGGAGCACGAGCGGGCGCTTGCTGGGGTTGGGGGTGCTGGGCTGCTGCTCCACCACGAAGGCGCTGGGGAAAAGGAGGGGTCAGGGCTGCCCCGAGACCCCCCTGTCCCCCCCGTGCTGCCCCCACTTCCTAAAATGACGGAATATCCCGATTTGGAGGGAGCCCAGGGGGATCATCCAACTCCTGGCTCGGCACCAAAACCTGCCCGGTCCCAAATCCCAACATTTGAGTGTTGTCCAAACACTCCCTGAGCTACAGAACTGTGGAATAGCCACAGCTGGAAGGGGCACATCAGGATCATCGAGTCCAGCTCCTGGCCTGGCACAGAACAACCCCAAAATTCCCCCAGTTCCCAAATCCCAGCACCTGAGAGCATTGAGGACCTGAGAACATTGTCCAAACAGTCCCTGACCCCTGGAATTCTGGAATATCCTGAGCTGGAAGGGACCCACAAGGATCAAGAACAACTCCTGGCCCTCCATGGACACCCCAAAAGTCCCCCCACAACACCCGAGAGTTGTTCAAACACCCCCTGGCTCCTGGAATTCTGGAATATCCTGAGCTGGAAGGGACCTACAGGGATCAAATCCCAACTCCAGGTTCTGCACAGGACGCCCCAAAATCCCACCCTGTCCCTGAGAGTGTTCTCCAAATGCTCCTTGAGGTGGGAAGGGGCCCACAGCAATCTGTGAGTCCCAGGACATCCCCAAAAATCCTAAATCCCAACACCCGAGAGCGTTTTGCAAACACCCCCTGACCTCTTGAATTACAGACCATCCAAAACCGCAAGAGACCCATCAGGATCATTGATCCCAGCTCCAGGCCCTGCACAGACACCCCAAAATCCCACCCTGTGCCTTGGGAACGCCATCCAAACCCTCCCGGAGCTCTGGCAGCCTTGGGAGTGTCACCTTTTCCCGGGGAGCTGTTCCAGTGCTCAACCACCCTCTGGGGGAAGGAATCTTTTCCTGATCTCCCCCCTGGCCCAGCCCTTCAGATCCCACCCCACACCTCTCCAACCCTTCAGATCCCGCCCCACACCTCTCCAACCCTTCAGATCCCGCCCCACACCTCTCCAGCAGGTGCGTGAGCTGCTCCTGCAGCCGCTGCTCCACCAGGGGCGTCTCTGCCACCAGCGGGTCCCTCTCGTAGGTCACCTTTTGTCGCAGGTCGTTCAGCGCCCGCAGCAGCTGCCGCAGCTGGAACAGCCCCTGGCCCAGCTGCGTGAACCTGGGGGGAGCCAGGCAGCTCAGAGGGGTCTGGGGGCAGCCCCCCCGAGCCCCCCGAGCCCCCCGAGCCCCCCAGCCCTACCAGGTCTCCAGCGGGCGCAGGTTGGTGTCGCCGGGGCCCCCCAGGCACAGGCGCTGCTGCCGCACCCGCCAGTCCCCCAGCTCCTCCCGCAGCAGCTCCTGCAGGGTCTCGCTGCGCCCCAGGAGCTGCTGCATCTGAGCCAGCACCTCCTGGGGGGAGATGTGGGTCTGAGGGGGGCGCTCAGGGTGGTCACGGCCCCCCCCCCAAACCCAGCCCGGCCACCCCGACCCCCTCCTCACCCGCCGCTGCCGGTCCAGGTTCTGCAGCTTGGCCTGGAGGGCTTGGAGCTCCTGCCTGTACTCGGGGTCCCCGCTCCTCTCCCTCCCTGCGGGCACGGGAGAGGGGTCAGGCTTTCGGGGGGCCTGGAGGGGGTGCAGGGCAGTGCCACCCCCCCATCTGCCCCGCCTGGGGCTCACCTGGCTGGTAGTGCACCTTGTAGCAGAAGTCAAAGGCATCCTGCAAATCCTCCAGGTGCCTGAAGGCTCGGTCGGCTTCCTGCGGGCACAGCGGGGTCAGGAGGGGCCGGGCAGCCCCCGGGGGGCTGGGCGGGGGTCTCGGGGTGGGGGGGGATACCTGCAGGGCCGTGTGGAACTCGGTCAAGCGCCGCTGGATCTGCTGCTCCCGGCCGCTCCCCGGGGCTGGGCTGGGCGCGGGGGCCGAACCCCTCTAGGGAAACACGGGGTGTTGTGGGGGCAGCGGCCGCGGGACCCCGCGGGGTGCGGGGGGGACACAGCCCTGCCCTACCTGCCCCCCCGCCTGCCCCAGGCGCAGGATCCGCCGCTCCTCCTGCAGCAGGTTGGCCACCAGGTTGGCGAATTTCTCCGGCTTCTTCGCGAACTCGGCCTGCGGAGGGGTTGGGGGGCTCAGCGGGGCGCGGAGAGCCCCCTCCTCACTGCGCTCCCCCTGAAGCTCCCAAGCGCACCTGGAGGTCGCGGTGGGCTTTGCGCAGGTTGTGCTTCAGCATGAAATCCTCGTAGCCCGAGCCCAGGCTGCCCAGGCGCTCGCCCAGCAGCACCAGCAAGGAGTGGAACAGCGTCGGGGCGTGCGCGGAGAGCGGCTCCTCCGCCTGGCGCCTGCGGCAGCGGGGGCTCAGCACCGGCACGGCCCTGCCCGTGCCCCCCCCGGTGCCGCCCCCAGCCCCGGATTCCCCCTCCCGTTACCAGTTCTGGTCCTCGATCCAGGCGGCCAAGCACTGCCGCACGGCCATGGGCAGCGCCGAGCCCGCGTACAGCTGGTGCACCTGCTCCAGGTAGGTGTTGGCCAGGCTCTGCACCTCCTGCCACTGCGCCATGCTGGGGGGACAGCGGTTGAACGGCGTCCCGAGGACCCCCCCGGTCACGGCAGGAGCAGAGGACGAGAAACACCCGCGTGTCCCGGCTGGGCAGCGCTGAGCCCCGCGTACCTGCCTGCAGCACGGGCGGCCCGGGGGTCCCACTGCTCCTGCTCGGTTCTGGGTGGTCCTGGGGGTTCTCCTGCTCGGTCCTAGGTGGTCTCGGGGGTCCCTCTGCTCCTGCTCGGTTCTGGGTGGTCCTAAAGGTTCTCCTGCTGGGTTCTGGGTGGCCTTGGGGTTTCCTCTGCTCCTGCTCGGTTCTGGGTGGTCCTGAGGGTTCTCCTGCTCGGTTCTGGGTGGTCCCGTGGGTCCCTCTGCTCCTGCTCGGTTCTGGGTGGTCCTAAAGGTTCTCCTGCTGGGTTCTGGGTGGTCTTGGGGGTTCCTCTGCTCCTGCTCGGTTCTGGGTGGTCCCGGGGGTTCTCCTGCTCGGTTCTGGGTGGTCTCGGGAATTCCTCTGTTCTGGTTCAGCCCCGGCAGCTCCCGGGGGTCCCCTCGCTCCCACTGGGGTGGCCGCGGGCCGGCAGCCGTGTCCTGCGGTGGGAGCAGGGGGTGAGCCGAGGTGGGTTCCCCACGCGGGGCGGGGGGCACACACACATAACGCCCACCACGAAGGTCCCCGGCAGCCCTTATACAGCACCCCAGGCCCCTCCTCAGAGGCCTCCCGAGACCGGACCCCCATTGAACCCCTCGGGCAAGCCCGGGCACCCCCAGTGTCCTTCCCGCAGGGATGGGCGCCCCTAAACACCCCCCGCCCCGGCGGGACAGCCCTCCAAGGGACGCTTTGTGTGCCCCAGCCGAGATCCCCTGCCTGTGCCTCCGTTCTCCGGGGCGCCCCGTGCTCCAGAACCGCCCATGTCCCCTCCGGAACCCCCGGTCGCCCCCCGGGGCCCCGGACCCACCTCCGCCGCTACCGGAGCAGGAAGGCGGGATGGCCACGCCCCCCTTCCCCCTTGCGATGATTGGCGGAGCTGCGGGCAGATGCCACGCCCCCTTCCCAGCTCTGCTTGGTGATTGGTGTATGCTAACTCCGAGGCCACGCCCCCGCGAGCAGCGGAGAGCCGCAGCATGGTTCATTTCCCCAAGTTGACGTCACACGGGGGGGCGGGGCGTTGCCTTGTGGGCGGGGCTAATTGAGAGGGCGTGTTCATGGGGCGGGGTCAGCGGGGACCGGGGGAGGGAACGGCGGCGGCCCGGGATGGGCGGGGGGGGACCGGGACAGAGCCGGAGGGACCGGGACAGACCGTGGGGACAAGGGCTGGCCGTAAGGACAGGGAGAGAGCCACTGGGACAGGGAGATGAAGCCAGGGAGACAGCGACAGGTCGTGGGGACAGAGCCAGGGGGTGGGGACAGCCGTGGGGACAGGGACAACAGAGCTATGGGGACAGGGGCAGAGCTGTGGGGACAGCGACAAGCCGTGGGGACGGGGGTACAGGGTCAGGGAGACAGGGAGAAGCTGCAGGGATGGGGACAGGGCCAGCGCCACGGGGAGGCTGACACAGAGCCATGGGGACAGGGACAAGGCAGTGTGGCCACTGGGATGGACTGGCTGTGGGGCCAGCGCTGGGGCTTTAGGGACAGGGACACGCCATGGGGACAGGCCCAGCCCAGCTGCCACCACGTGGCTCGGGCCACCACGTGGCCAAGGTCCGAGTGCCCCAGGACGGGGTGACCCCGCATCGATCCGTCCCCAGCCGCCCCAAACAGGGACCCGGCGCCGGCTACCACACGTGGCCTTTATTCAGACGATGACCACGGGGCCGCTGTGGGCGGTGGGCACCGGAGAGGGCTCCCCGGCCGAGGTGAGGTACCCGACGAGCGCCCGCACGCCGGCCTTGAGCCCCGGCTGCAGCCCCAGCTGCACCCCCATGGCCACCGGGCCCCCCAGGCCCCCGGTGAGCGCGGCCAGCCCGGCGTAGCCCAGGTCCTCGGCGGCCTCCAGCGCCCGCGTGGACGCCGTGGCCTCGCAGCCCTGGAAGGCGAAGTAGACGCTGGTGCCCAGGTTGTAGAAGATGCTGACTCCCGGCACCCAGTCCAGCACCCGGTGCGCTTCCCGCTCCCCCGCCGGGCTGCAGACATCCTCATCCTCCCGCCGGCGCCGCACGGCACCGCGGCACGGCCGGAGCCCCGGGAACGCCCGGCCGCCCTGGCCGGGCGCGGGGGTCCGGAGCAGGGTGGGATCCGCGCAGGCGGAGCCCCCCGGCCGTGCCAAGCGGAGGAGCAGCAGGGCCAGCGGCCGGGGGGCCGGAGCGCCCGGGAGCCGCGCCAGCCCCCGCAGCAGCGCCGCGGCCGTGGGGGTGCCCAGCTCCCGCAGCAGCTCCAGCGATTCGGCCTCGGCCTGCGGGGCACAGCCGGCCCCGCGCAGCGCCAGGACCATGGCAGCACGGGCCAGCCCGCGGGGCAGCGGCGGCAGCCCGGAGAAGCCGGGCAGGGCGTCGGGGAGAAGGGTCCGGCACGGGACCCGCGGTGCCTGCGGTGGGGTGGGCTCTGCCGGCCCCAGCAGCTCGGCCAGCAGCGCCCGGTCACCGGCAGCCGGCCCAGGGGGGACGACGGACGCAGCGATGGCACGGCCGAGGATGAGGAGCGGGAGGAAGAGCAGAACCCGGGGCATGGTGGCGGCTCTGGGAGGGTCTGTGGAGGTGGGAGAAGAAGGGCAGAGCCCCGTCAGACCCCCGTGGCTGCAGCCCCCCGTGACCCCCCTGGGCCCCGGCTCACCCACTCGCTGCTGGCACCTGCCCTGTCCGGCCACTGCGGCCGCAGCCGGCCCCGTGACTCCTTTATAGCCCTTGTTATCAGGGAATTGCGACATGTCCGGCACAGGGACGGGGACCGGACACTCCCTGAGGCCAGGGCAGCTCGAGGCCCCAGCCTCCCTGCAGACCCACACACCCAAGAAGGCCAAAAGTCACCTTTATTTACTTAGGCCCTGTCCAGACGTAAAAAGTTTCAGGAAAAAAAACCCCCAAGAGCTGAAGAAAAAGAGGGAATTTGGGGTAAAATGGAGATGGTGACACCAAGGGAAGGTGGGGGAACGTGGAGAAACTGGTTGCTTGTGCAGCCTTTGAAAGCAGCATCAAAACCTGCAGAAGAAAATCTGCAGAAACCCCAGAAAACCTGTAGAAACACCAGAAAAACTGCAGAAAACCTGCAGAAATCCAATAAAATCTGCAAAAAGCCCAGGAAACAGCACAGGGCCTGGGCACAGGCATGGTATGGGGAGCCACTCAATCGTCCTCCTCTTCCTCATCCAGGCAGCGGATGCGCTTCCGCCTCCCCTGGGGCTGTGGACCTTCATCCTCCTCATCCTCCTCGGAGCAGGGAGCCGCAGGGGCCGGTTCGGTGCCTGGGGATGGAGGGAGAGGGCTGAGCCCCCCAGGGATGTGGCAAAGGGGACAGGGACAGGACAACCCCGACTCAGCCGTGCCCGTGGTGACACCCAGGAGCGAACAGAGGGGCTGAACCCACCTGAGCTCCCACCGTCCTCATCCTCATCCTCGCTGGCGAGCTCCCGGCGCCGCTTGGTGCGCGGCTGCACTGGGCTGGGGACAGGGACGGGCTCCTCGCTGCAGGGGTTGGCACAGCTCAGCCCCACACGGGGAGAACGCAGGGGGCTGGATCCTCTCCCCCAAACCAGGGAGAAGACCCCCCCCAAACCAGGGAGAAGACCCCCCCAAACCAGGGAGAAGATCCCCCAAACCAGGGAGAAGACCCCCCAAACTAGGGAGAGAGGACCCCCCAAACCAGGGAGAACCCCCTGAGCTGAGAAGGGGACCCCGGTCTCACCTCTCCGAGTCCGATCCCAGCCCTGCCGGCTCTGCTGAGGGGCACAAGGAGGGGGGCTCAGAGCCAGCCCCACACCTGGGGGCCCCACACCCCCAGCCCCACCCCTCACCTGGAGCCGGGTCCTGGGGGCACCTGGGTGGCTCTGGCAGGTCCTGGGGGGCCCCTGAGGGGCCACGGTGGGCGATGGAGGCGGCCGCACGCCGGAGCTGCTGCGGGGTGAGGGCGGCCGGAATGCGCCAGAAGGATTCCTGGGCAGAGGGGGGGGGACATTGCAGGGCTGTGCTGGGAGCAAGGGGACGGGGACAGGGATGGGGACAGGGATGGGGCCGGGGAGGGGGCCAGGGAGGGGGCC